AGGCTGAGACCTGGAAACAGCTTTTCCTGTTTTCTGTGTCTTTGGGATCGGAGTAATAACATTTTGGGGAGATTTTAAATCTCACAGAAGAAAGTGGCCTACTCTGGCAGGTATGTGCAGAATACTAGAGTATGCTTCATTGGTGCCCAAGCCAAGAATGAGTGCTGTACTATGGTAGTTCCCTTAGGATTTGTCTGTGCTCCGGGCTCATGAAGATATGGCACCATGAGCTGCAGCAGCTGCACTCATTTTCAATGACGTAAAAAGGGATGTTTTCTGAGGAATCAAAGGCTCCCGTCATTGACTGTGGATGTGAAAAACCTTTCCTCATTTAGAGTATTTATATCTACAATACATTTTAAGTCAGAGTTCATGTAACCTCTTTTAATCACATAACCACAGGTCCCAGTACACAAAAGGCCACTGGTTGGCATTCTTAATGTACTTAATAAAGATCCTAGTAAATCCTTTAAGACGTGGGGATGGTCTAGTAAGTAGCGGTCTTCCGTACTGTCCCCAGCGAGAGTCACTAGACCATCTAGTAACTTTAAGAGTTTAAATGTCCCTGAAATGGGCATACAAGTTTTTGTCAAGAATGAATTAGAGTGAAGGAAAGCTGAGTGACACCTGGCATTCCTCTGTGTTCATGAAGCTTCTTGGAGGCTAGCAGATTGATTTGACCATCCAGGCTTCTCTGGCTAATGCCTATTCTTCAACCACATTGGTTACTCTGACATAGGCATTTACTTCTTTTTCTTGAAGGAAAAACACTTTAAAAAATAATCGCAGACATTATTATAAACTAATGTACGTGAGAGTACTTAGTGGAAACTAAAAGGAGTTTTAGTAGACAGTATACTGTATTTGAAAATCAAGGAGAAGTTTCTGCAACTTAAAATGTTTACCAACTGCAGTGCAATCTACTGTTTGTGAACGTCAACATATTATCGGGAAAAGTGTCTATGCAATCACAGAGCTCTGTCTCCTCCCCAAATTCTGTACGAAGAGTGAAATATGTTTTTAAATATGTTTGTATGTCTCCTTGTTTCAGTTAGAGGCACATTTTGTGCAATATTTATGGTAATGTGCCTATACATTATGAATAAATTATTTCTGTCATACATATCCTAACTCATAACTTTATGTATGTTGATTCTTTAGAAAGAATAAACAGTTTAAACTTCATGAAGTTCTAATGTGTTTGTTCCAAAATAAGTCCCATGATTAGGATGTAGGGAGATATGTATGTGTGCTTCCGGGGGTGGGGATTTCTAGTTACTAGACCGTCTCCATTTTTAGCGTTCGGCCTCCTCATACTTTTATAAATATGACATTAATAACAGAGCAATACTATGATTGCACAGACGGAATAACAGATTTCCTGCATTCACTGTAAGAGTGCAAATATTGGGCCCTGGTGACTTCAACGGACTCTTCCAAATTGTATGAATTTATCAATGTATCAGATAAACCCAATTTCAGAATTATCAAGAAAAAATGTTAGGCCAAATAATGTGGCTAATGAACAGTGGTACAATTTCTAGCCTGAGGTTTAAAATGGACTTAAAAGTACTGTCTTTAAACTGAACTCAAAGGTTGAAAAGCGGCAAGTTCAGAAAAGAAAAAGGAAGAACAGAACTTTACGTCCATTTTGAAACCTCGGGCTAGAAATCGTACCACTCTGAAATAGCCACATTATTTGGTGGGGGACAGGGTCCTGCCTTCTGTCACGCACTGGCAGCTATGATGGCACCTGGGAGGGAGGGAAGAAGCCGTGTGTCCTGCCTGGCCTGTGAGGTGTGTTGTGGGATGACTGTGTGTATGGGACTCTCCAGCTTTTCCCCGAGATCACCACTGGATTATCACCAGCAGATAGAGGCGGTGGGACCCTGACTATCACCCGTTCTGCAGTGGATTTGGTCTCGGCACTCCTAGGCTGGGAGCTGGATGCCCTGCACTGGCAGCATGACTCAGAATGCACGACAGGCACGGCGTGCCCAGGATGACGTTCCTGGGCCTCTGGCCGACTCAGAGTCCAGCCCCCTCCCAGCTCCCAGCCCCAAAACCATAACCCACGAGCTCTCTGCAGACAGTGATGGCTCCGGAGAGCACCCACATCGGCCAGCTTGAGCACGGAGCCTGTTCCACGAGCCCCAGGCTCAGCCATGGAGGCCTTGGGCAGTGGCACTGAGTCCTGAGGCTCACAGAGAAGGGAGGTGAGAGAGACAGCAGCATGAGGACAGAAAGAGGACAGAGAAAGTCTGCAGCTCCAGAAGGGAGGGGTGGGGAATCTGGCTCTTAGGTCCCAGGTTTGTCCCCTGTGTGGAGCTGGTGCAGTGGGACAGGCACACCATTCATGCAGCAGGCGGCGAGGCGGGTGCCCACCGTGGGTGATGCTCCTCAGAGGTCACTGAGAGTGATTCTGAACGACAGCATGAAACCAACAAGGCAGCTCCCACGCATGGGTGGGGCAGGCCTGGAGGGGACACATGCAAACATCCAGGTGTGCACTCACGTGCTGTGAGGCCCCATGATCCGCATGTACATGCTAACACACATGCCCACAACCGCCACAAACGATACACCTCCTTCCCCTTCACCTCCTGGTGCCCAGCATCCTCACTGGCCGGCACATGCGACACGGGTCTGGGGCGTGCAGCTACTCGGCACACTGAAGCACACGCATAGGCAGAGTCACAACACAGAACCTCACCCACACACAGAGGCATTTGCACCAGCTTACTGCCCACGCGTGCCTGGCATGTACAGAGGACCACCCATGCTGCTCTTGGAGACAGGACTTGCTCGCTAATGTCCAGCTGTCATTTCTCCACCTACAAGCCTTCCACGCCTCCCTACTCCCTACAGGATGGAGCCCCAAGTCAAACTCTGGACTTTGAAGCTTTGCCCTAGGCCTCACCCTCCCCATAGAGCTCTTCCTCATTCTGTCTCTGTTCCCTGCTTTGGCCAGTGGCTGTCCTCCATGCGGCCCACACTACACCTCTGCCCACACTGCGGCTCTGTACCCAGATACCCTCCAATTCCTCGCCATGTAAGCCTATCTCAGTCATGCCCCAGACCGCACACAAGTCAGGCTGCCTTGAAGACACTCTCCCAGACTGCTCTTCTCCCCAAGGCAGGGCCATGATTTGTGAAACATTTCACGTGTGTTACCAAGACTGGAGTCGGAGCAGGCATCAAACCTTACATTCCATGTGTCACACCTCACCATAGACCTGGGCGCCAAAAACTCTGAAGTGTCTGAACTCACGTTGGCAGTTAGCAAAGTGCTCATATGGCCACACCTGCTGTTAACACAGCATCCCTATGGCCACTGTCTCCATATTCATAACCACCCTGGGAGAGAGGCAGAACATCATCATTTGATAGAAGAGATGCTGAGGCTCTGGCAGGGAAAGGCATTTGCTTAAAGACCCTGGGTGAGGCAGCATCTCTGGATTCCCAGTGCAGTGCTCTTGCCCAATACCATGCTGCTTGACTCCCCCCATCTACGCTAGACATAAGCATGTCCTAGGGCAAGCCCAAATCCCTCCCTTATTTTGGTTATATGGGTGCTGGACCCACAGCCCCACCCTCCTGCCATTTGGAAACAAAAACACATGCCATTGTTCTTCCATAGAGAATGTGGCCAGTGGAAACAGGGCACCCTGGGAATCAGAGTGAACATCCTTGAAAGAGGCCATGGGTCAACAGGGCCAAGCCAAAGGGTGCAGTAGAATGCTTTTCCTTAGAAATCTTTGGGAGTGAAGCAGGCTTCAGCCACTCGCATCTCTGCCCCTGCAGCCACCCCTGCCACATCTGTGTAGACCATGTAGGGCGGGCCAGGGGCGGTGAGGTGGAGGAAAAACATCAGATGGCCCACGGCCCCCAGGCTCCTTCCCCAGCTGCTTCTGTTCTAGCCCAGGACTGGGTGCCATTCTTACACTCTCACACTCGTGTACACACACACAGCACACACCTTGTTGGTCACACAGTCACAGCCTGCCCTCTGCTCCTGTGGGCCAGTGGCAGAAATCCACTGGGATGGCTCAAAGGAGTCAGGACTTGGAAATGCGGACATCAGGATAGCTGATACAAACCCACACACCCCGAGAAGATTGGAGTTCAGACTCTCAAGCCTGAGGAAGGCTCCCTGAGGACGGAATGGAGGATGGGGGACAGCAAGAAGAAGAAAGGAGGAGGAATGCAGCCAGCGCTCCATGACAGGTCCCGCCGGCCTTGTGACTTCATTTCTAAGCCTGGTTCTTTCTCTGCAACATAGCAGGGAAATCCAACAGGGATGTTTGAAGACAGATTCCAA